AAGTGGATCCTGTAGACCTAACAGCCTGTAATTAATAATGTAGATACAAAAAATCATGCTCTATATGAATAGAATATTGTCACCGAGTCTTAAGGTGGTTCCACACCTGCGTACATTTTGTCACTAACATGTGCTCAACAAGAAGAAACACCGAACTAGTGCACGCGGCCGCACCCTACCAGATTTGGAATCCTGTGCCTCATTTCGTCTTGTCGATCACATGTTGGCAACAAAATGTACGCACATGTGGACGCACCTTAAAAGGAACGAAATATATTCCAGTAAGATAAAGGATCAATTCTGTAGCGATGCATTCAATTACAAGAGTACAGTATTGTACAGTACCGTAATATGTCTCACCGGAGGTGTCCCTAGTGGGTGCAGAAGTAAATTAAAGTAATCTATGCAGGTAATTTTACAGTACAGTATTGCAACACAAAATATGGAAAGAAAATGAAAGAGATCTGTGACCCCTTAACCATATGTGATGACTGCTCTAGAAGTTATGAAAATACTTAGTGAGATTCGGAAATACACAAGAAAAACCTAAAATTTAATACCTGGTGATATTATTGTTTGCATATGGTATACTGTACATGGAAAATAAAACATTATTTTTATATTTTTTGTAAGATAAACAAGACAAATGCCATAAAATAGTCTGGATGTGATAACAAATTTCATGGCAGCACAATTAATAACTAAAAACCAATTTAATATACTATTGCACCTCATAAACATTTGCTAAGTAGCGGAAACGGTCTACTTTTGAAAATTAACATTCCTTGCTTTTTTTTTCAGCAAACTTTTCTATCAGTTTATGAAAGTACAAACTTACTGCCAGTTCCTTTTCGATGGACATAGTTGTCCTTAGATACAGTAGCGTTTTATCAATTTGAGTTTAGAAAAACTTCTCTCCTCTGATGCCACTGTGACTGGAACTGCCAACAAAATTCTTTTATGATACTTGATTTTGCATTACGGAAAGAACCATTGAAAGATTTTAGAAACTGAAGGACTTGAAGTTCATTTTTAGTTTCTTTAGGAATGAATTCTCAGAGTAGTGTATTCGAACCTCTGAAAATGGCTCAGCTTCGTCAATATTGTGATTATTTCTAACACTCAATGACTTGTCCAAAGCAGAGATGTGCTCAGCTAGTTACAGCACAGTTGCTATAATATGTGTTAGAACCAATTGCCAATGTTCCTTTTCTTTATTCAAGTTCTGTAACATGTGTGTATCTGTGGTAGTCATTGAACACAAACTTTTCTTCACCTCCATCCATTTGGTTAAGTTGAACGAATGTTCATTTGATGACTCAATGATTCATGATAATTTAATCTTTCACTAAAATGCTTCCAATCAGCACAGCCTTCATTTATGTGTTGCATTTAAACTGTATAATTACTAACCAGGAGACTGCAAGGCCCCTGGAAGTGCTCTGTGTCTCACTCTAAAATATTGTGTTATCACAACCTGGAGATTGGAAGATACTGTATTAAAATATAATTTTTACACCAAGTATATATTCTAATTAAAACTGTAAAACATATAATGTCCTGATTCCAATTTTCAATATGAAAAATAATTTAACCCTTCCAAAATAATTCCCTTCAACAACTTGTCCACCACAGTATATGGGCTCACCTGCTCAAAAGTTGGCAGTCTAATGTGCCTTAGCCTAACCTCACTAGCCATTTTGATGGGGATCCATCATACCAATGGCAACAGTTGCCTTCTGGAGACAGGAGGTGTGTTAGAGCCTTGTCTGCATAATTGGTGCACTCTTGATTTCATGTAATCCACCATTTTGAAACTAGTTCCTTGTTGACAGTGGAAAGGTATAGATACATCAGATAACTCTTCACTGCTCTTGTTATCTGTCTATGCATTTTCACATTTTTGAAGATAGAGCTGAAATTTGGTAGGGGTGTGGAGGGTGGCCTAGGGGATAGTCCTGCACTACCCCCTGTTCCTCCACCTGGGGGAAGCCAGGTAACTCTGCTCGTATTTTATCAGAACCAAGTGTCAGTCCCTTTGTGACACTTGAGGGTCTGTTGGCAAGAACTCCCACACTTTTAAGTGTTATCAATAATGCAAGACAAAATTGGTGTTACAAATAATATTTTCTTATACAACTGTACTGTACAGTATATGTACTTGTATATATTTTTTGTTGGTACTGAGTTACTAGCCTCTGTGTCTGGGTTAGCATGCTAGTAGTGGCTCACCTTATTGCTGGTGCTTGTGAACTTTGAAATTCCACTATTCCACTAAACTTTTGGTGCCCTCCATACAGTTGTACTATTCACCTATACTGTACTATATAATACAGTAGGTGGCTCTAGGCCTGTTTGCCCCCGTTGAACATAAGTTTTGACTGTTTAGTAATAGCACTCTCAGGGTAATCTAGTAGTTGACTCATTACTTATACTGTATACTGTTTAGTACTGCATAACTATTTCAGTACATACACAATGTTGCATTCATTATTGTGATTGTGTGGGATGTATAGTATTACTGAGATCTCTAATTGAGCACTTCATTGTAGGGGAACTGTGTGATAGCCCTGTTGGCATTGAATGGCTTCAGCCTTTTTGGCTAGAACCAATGTTTTGTCCTTTAATGGGGGGTTGGGGGGTACTATCATTCCTATGGGTGCAGTGGCCTTTAAATTATTAAGGACTACACTGGGTACCCTCATGATTAATAAATTAATTTTGTCATAACTTTCACATCCATTGTCTATTTGAATAATTTTCCTTCTTGCATTTTGCATTATAGTTCATTGGTTTGTTTTGTTAAGAGATGTAGATGAGACTCTTGTACATTGCTTTCTCTAATGTCAGTTTAGCTCCCGAGGGTGAGGCTTTTTCAATTCCACAAATTATGGAACAGTGAATCATGGACTTCTCGGGTGGTTAAGAATGGCATGAAGTAATTATGGAGACCCATCAGTAGACACTTCTTAGGAGCTGATAAACATCCTTCATAGAACAAAATCTTTTCAGTACTTCAGTCCCGGTTGAAATCAGTCTCAGGTCACATCTGACGTCCCATACTGGCCATAAATAATTGCCTGTGCTTACGAAGTTATGATTTGTTTAGAGCTAGACAAAGATATTCCTTTAACCCACCCCTTCTTCTTGATCTTCTGCTCAGTATAAGGAGTGCAGAAGGACAGCTGAGTTTACAAGTTATTAAGTGTGCTTCAAAAGTAATTAGGGATTCATGAAGCTTTTCTCTAAAGGCATGATAATTATGTGCATCAACATCCACATCCTGGCAGTTCTCAGCAGTGGATTGTTTATTCAGCATCAGTGGAACGAAGAAGAATGTCAACATTATGTTTTATAGTAGCTTCACAGGCCTGGTGGGAAGTTATGTATGGGATATAAATTGATAGAAGCAAAAACTTTACAGGAGGAAAATCACACATTAGTTTTGTTGATTTTCATTGTACTTCACATTACATATACAGCATTTTAATGTTTCACAACTTAATCACAAGTGCTGCCTAACACCAGAACATGAAGTATTCTGAATTTTATCGACATGACCCTGGCTAAGAATTGATCACGAGTTTCATCAGTGATGTTAGTTGGTACTGAAAGTCAGGATGCAGTGAGAAGCCCATGGTGTGAGTGAGCTGGGGTTGTGGAGGACCTATTCCTTGGTTGTCAGTCAGTTAGGGAAAATGTTCATACAGGGATGAGGGGTATAACAGCTAGCTCCATACCTGAGATAATTGTCGTTAACACTCTTGTGGTCTTTCGGTGCAGATTGTGTCGCTAAGAGCTCCCATACTGGCCTGACCTTTCATGCTCAGCCTTATCTCACACTAAGAGCACCCTTCCTGTAAGTAGAAATGCTGGAACAGTGGAATGGCCCAATAAACCACTTAAGCTCCTCCCACTAGCCTCGTGGGCTGGCAAATGCATCTCTAAGGGTCTGGATCGCTCTACCCAATGTTTACTAAAACTGAAAAACTGTTCCTGTTACCGACCCAACCTGCATAGAAAAACTGCGGGGAGGTGAAATTGTAAATGACGCAATTTGCGTCAAAAGACCACTAGGGGATGAGATTTCCAACCATGGCCAGGAGTATCAGGGGGTTAATCACCAGAAATTAGGGGACTTGCACTGCCTCATTTGGGAAGTTTTCAGTCAATATTTACAAGTTAGTATGTACAACATACTGAACTAAACTATATTTACTCATTCTTACTTTTAAGTTAATTACCTTAATCTGTAAATGATTGGACAGTTCTTGATCTTTATAACCTACAGAAACTAATCACTGGGTTTGGATAGGTGTCGGTATGATGTGGAATACAGTTCTGTACAGTACTGTACTACTGTAGTTATCATAATGGGTTGCCACTCCGCTAGTCTTGGTTTAAATCACCATCAAGGAATCAGTGTGTGCTTGATGTCCAGTGTGAGCCAGTGCTAGTAATACAACCGTATCCCTTCCAGTCTGTCAGAATATCCAGTAGATTCACAAATATCCAGACATAGTGTAAAGTGTACAGTATTCATATTTATGAATCTTCCTTGTGTCTAGTGTTACCATCACTACCCATCATATTTACCCAATCATTACATAAGGTTTATTACACTTAATGTAATTTCTAGTATCCCTGTTTAAGTACTGTATATATACTGTACATGTACCTTAATATCTGTGGGGCGGTAAAAAATAAATAATTACAGTATATGGAAAACACAAACCACTTTTAACACCACATTTCCTATCATTTGCAGAAGTGTAGTCTGAGTCTTCACCAAAGGGATGGCTAAACACAGGCAAGCCTCCTTAGTTTAGTTCAGTAAATGCAGAAATGGAACAATGGAAGCACACTATTAGGCAGGATATAAAAGTAGGATATAACATACTACAGTAGTTATATATAGGTAGAAGGTTGACTTAACATATACAGTAATCAGATAATGTGATTATGGAAAGTAGTACATAACCTGTATTATTGTGTTGCAGATAGGAAGTGCAATAGAGGGCCTTGATGCTGCCCCTCCACACATGCCAACATGGGAACAGCTGCAGGCCCGAGTGTCTCGTCCACTGGTGCGTCCTATGTGGGTAGTACGGCCAAACCCGCCACCTCCAGATGAGGATGAAGAGGAGGAGGAGGAGGAGGAGGAGAGTGGCAGCGATGGGGAGAGTCGTCCAGCTGCACGTGAACCTCTTCCACCGACAATGAATCGTGCTGTGATGCTTCCCGTTTTTCATCATTTATCTGTGAGAGACTTAAAGGTGGTGATGCAGGTGTGTAGAACTTGGGCACAGTGGGCAATAAACCCAACTTTATGGAAAACTATCAACCTTGCACATAAACGAGTTGATGTATATCACCTGGAGGGTGTTGTGCGCCGCCAGCCTTGCTTGTTGGATTTAAGTTGGGCTCGAGTTAGTGCAGAGCAACTGTGCTGGCTTTTGGCTCGACTTCCTCAGCTCAAGGAACTCCACCTAGAGGGTCAGGGTTGGGAAGTGGTGTCGGGTCTCACCTCTCCTTACTGCCCAGCTCTGTCTCGACTCAATTTATCATACTGTGAGGGGTTAACTGACAGTACACTAACAACTTTACTATCAGCCCCACGAACTCACCGTCCAGGCCACCGTGACACAACTACACGACTGCGTCAACTCACAGATCTGAGTTTGGCAGGAACTCAAGTTGGAGATGAAGGAGCTAGAGCTATCGTACGTTCCCTGCCATTTCTTAGTACTCTCGACTTGAGCAGTTGCCAGCGTATAACAGAGCTTAGTACAGCTTTATTGGCTCATCCCTCCAGTGTTGTAAGTCATTCACTGTCATCATTGGATTTAAGGGGTTGTCACCGCCTGGCTCCGACATGTCTACCGTCCCTCACTTGTTTACCTCTTCTGTCCAAGTTGGCACTTCACCCTTGCTCCCGCATTCCATTAGCAGCACTTCGTGTTTGGGGAAAATCTCACGGTTACACTCTTGGTGTGGAGGACATTTTAGCAAGGGCACCTCCACCGCCCCCTGACCCAGATTTAGATCCTTCCTCAGACTCAGATATGTCTTCTCTCTCCAGGTCATCATCTCCAGGAGTTGCCAGAATAACACAAGAAACTCCAGAAATATCACCAAATAACCCAGATGCCAAGAAAGGAACAGAAAGTCCCCCAAAATTGGAGTCTGGTGAAAAAGATGAAAAAGAAAAAGATGAGCAAGTGGATGCGAGCAAGAAAGAGAGTTCATTAGGCAAGAACTCAGATGTGGAATCCAATTCAAAATCAAATGGAATCCCTTCAGGTAAATCAAAAATCCTGTCAAGTACTTCAGGTAAAAAGAAACCAGATAAAGTGGAGGAGACAAACAAAAAGGAAGATAAAGAGGTGGATAATTCCATAAATAAAAAAACAAGTGAGAAGAACACTGAGAATCTCCAGAGCAAAACTGTCTCACAGAAAGGTGGAAGTGACTCCCCTGTGAGTGGCAGCTTGAGGGTGTCAACAAGAAGACAGAGCCGTTTGCAAGACTGTGATGGTGATTCTGGGACCTCAGTTGATCAAGCCAGCAAAAAGAATACAGGTTCTCCTGAACACCCTAACAAAAATAGTGGACCTTCAGAGACCAGCAAAAAGAATTCTGCTTCTTCTTCAGAACAAGTTAACAAGAAGACTACTACATCTTCTGAACCAGTTTCCAAAGACAAAACACCAGAGCAGGTCAATAAAAAGATAGCAGCAGCATCTCCTCAGCAGATCTCCAAAAAGAGCACATCATCATCAGAGCAAATGTCTAAAAAGAATACATCACCAGCACAGCAGACTTCCAAGAAGAATGGAACGTCACCTCAAGAGCAGGTCTGTAAAAAGAACACACCACCTCCTCCAGAGCAGATATCCAAGAATTCACCCTCACCTGAACAAGTCTGCAAAAAGAATTCATCTCCTGAACAGAGTTCCAAAAAGAATCTATTCGAACAGGTTTCCAAAGCAAATTCCTCACCTGAACAGTGTTCCAAGAAGAATTTATCACCAGAACAAGTCTCAAAAACAAATTCCCCTCCTACACAATGTTCCAAAAATAATCAGTCAGAAGAGGTTACCAAAAAGAATTCACCTCCTGAACAGGGTACAAAAAATAATTCACCTGAACAGGTTACCAAGAAGAATTCACCACCTGAACAGGCTACAAAAAAGAGTTCACCTGAACCAGTTACCAAAAAGAATATAACACCTACAATAGAACAGATTCCTAAAAAGAGCACCTCAACTGAACAAGGTTCCAAAAAAAGTGAAACAGCTCCAGAACAAGTTTCAAAAAAGACCACAGACTCATCCTCAGATGTGGTTTCTAAGAAGAACACACAGACTCCTGACCAACCCTCCAAAAACAATTCGGTGCCACTTGAACAAGATGGTCTAAAGACTATAACACCACCACCTGAGTCAACCTGTAAGAAGAGCACCACATCCTCCCCTGAGGTGGCAGTGAAGATCACTCACTCTCCAGAACCACCCAGTAAAAAGACTGCAGTTTCATCTTCAGAACAAGTAACCAAGAAGAGTGAGGCACCATCTCCTGAACAGACGAGCAAAAAGAAACCAGTTGACAAGAAAAGTACGTCAGGGTCACAGGTAAATAAAAGTTCAGATGTACAGATCAACCAGAAGAATGTCATTATTACAGCTGTTGAAGTACATCGTGCAGATACTTATGAGGGCAAGGGAGATCAGGAGGGCTCGGTGAAACGACCCGAGAGAAGACAGAGTGTGAGAAGGTCAAAAGATGAACAGGATCCCAGAGTTGATGAAAAGAGGGAGAAGAACGAACGGTTGGGCACTGAGTCACCAAAAGACAAACGAAAGGATCCAAAAACTAGGGAAGAGGAAATGAATAGAATTACTGTCGAAGATTCCACTGAAAAAGATTCTAAACAGCAGAGTCCAAAGAAAATGGAGGACAAAGAGAAGAAACAGAGCGCAGCAGCAAACAAAAGAATTACGGAAAAGCTTCAGGAGTCTTCACCCCGAGTCAAACAGGAAAAAGATATTGTCACCAGGTCCACAAAAAGACTGAAGACTGAAAAGGCTGTTGATGAAAAGCAGAATGAGGTGACAAAGGATGAAGAGGGACAAAAGTCTGGTGAAAGTTCGGTAGACGTAAGGAAGACTTCAAGGAGAGGCAAAGAGCTGCGAGATGATAAGGAGGAGACAGTCTCAGAGGAAACACAAAAGAAAGATATTAAGTCACCCAGACCAGGAAGTGGAAGAAAGGAAAAGGAGGCTGTACCTGGGAAGACAAATGAAAAGAAAGATGAGGACCAAAAATCTAGTAAGAGAAGTCGACTTGACACAGAAGAATACATGTCCAAACTACGCAGGAAGTCATATGAAGGAGATGGATCAAGCGACTCCTCAGCAGTTGAAAGTTCCAAAAAGGAAGACACTGCCGAGGAGAAGATTAAATCAAAAAGAAGATCAGCTCGAGAGGATGAAAGTACAAAGACACCGACGGAGAAAAAACAAAAGGAAGAATGTAAAGAGGAGAAGAACAAAGGTACATCAGCCTGTACTGAACCAACAGAGACTGTGACAAAACAAAACAAAGCTGTTAGTGAGACACCAGATGTGAAACAGAGTAAAAGGAAAAATGAAGATGGCGATGACGGTGGAACGAGCAATAAGAAGATGAAGGACGAGGGTGAAGAGGCCGGCAAGGCCGTCAAGAAAACTGAAATTACTCGGGAACGATCAGGAAGCAGAGAAAGGCCCGAAAGAGCTCACAGGTCTCCCAGAAGACTATCTATGTGTCAGTAAAACTTTGTGGTTATTTTTGTTTTTATTACATATATATACATGTTGTAGTTAGTGTTTAGATATGATCAATACCTCAAGTGATTATATGAATTTTATGCCATCATCCACAGTTTTTCTTTGGTAACTTGTTATATTTTTTCCAGACTCTTTAAGAATTGTGTGATACAGTTTTATAGAAGGATTATTGTATGTTCATATTTTATATTTTTAAAGTAACTGCACAAGAGCTTTGTACTGTAAATAAATTTGATGTAGATACACCATAATATATTTATGATTTGTCCTAGATAAAAAGTGTGCTTCAAAAGTGATACTTTTTACTGAATAAAGGAATGTTTTACAGTATAATAATAAAGTACTGTATATGTTACAAAATTTTATCTCATAAGAATTAATTCAGTTCTGAAATGATTGTTCTTTTTCTCAACCTTAATATTCATGTGGGAAATGTAAAAACGGTAAACCCCTATAGATCAAACTCCCCTAATTCGTAATTTTTTGTTGTTACGACATGTGTTCACGTTGGTCACTCGTGGAGTGCACATCTACGGTCTACCACGCAAGCTTTTTTCACTTATGTTTGATAACCCTAAATCTGGTACTGTACTGTACTGTACTGTATTTAGAAATGTTTAAATTTTGATTGGGACAGATAACGGAAAAGTACCGTAGTTTTGTTTGTTTTTCCAATGGGAGAAGATTTCCCTCATAATTCATAAGAGCTAGAGCCTCTATTATTTCCACTTTTGGGGTTTTTACTGATATATATATATATATATATATATATATATATATATATATATATATATATATATATATATATATATATATATATATATATATATATATATATATATATATATATATATATATATATATATAATTTTTTTTTTTTTTTATAAAACTAAAACATTATGAATACTTCTTTCTTGTTTTGTTTATAATTAAGTTACCAGTGCATTTTACACGCTATTTTTTTGCTTCCACAAGTGCGGAAATTATCAGAGATCAACACAATAGTTATTATCCCTTAAAATATCACAATATAAGTACGAACGATAAAATATTAAAGAACAGCAACGACTTTTGGCATGTCTATCCACTGGCCAATCAGCTGCCTTGCTAAAAATTGACCCTAGACCTCGGTTGTAAAGTTTGAGTAAACAGATTATAATGTGTGAGGTGGTGATGTACAGTATATATCAGGAGGGACAAAGCAGCGGTGTGGTCAACTACAAAACTCCACTGTGTCCTTTTAGCTTTGCATCAAAGGTACTGTAATAATTTTAGGGACTATGGCAGCCACTTGCATTTAATGACCACTTTCCAAACATCTTGAATAAGGGTGGCAAGCCAAAACAACCATGTGTTCACATCAGACAGGGCAATTTTAGTTGCTTTCCACTATAACAATTAAGTTTTTAAACCAAGTAACCACATCAATTTTTAATACTATGATGAAAGCATTATACAGTAATCCTTCACCAACCACCAGAGTTAGCCAGGGCTGAGTCCAATGGGAAATATGTGGTTTGGGGAAGTGACCACAGAGAGTAATACCTGTACCTAAAGTTCTAAAATGAATGACTCAAGATTAAAATAGTAAAGGGTGTATGTTATATTTATTTACTTTCTCTTATACTGAACTAATTTGTGGAAATCTGTCTGCTATTATGAGGATTCCCTTGATGGGAGGGTTTCCTTTCCCCCCCATCCCCCCCCATCCCCCACCATCAAAACACACATCTTATATAGTAATGTGTACTGCACAGTATACAGTTATGTATATTGTATAGTAATTCAACACACACTGCCTTAATTATGGAAGGTTAATACTGGCACTTCCTTCTTTATGCTAGCCTAACATAAAGATGACAATGTAACACTGAGATAATGGGGATAAAACAGTACTGTACTGAAGTTAAACATTAATATTTCATATGAACACATTTTATAAAAAACTATCTATATACTTTATGAATTATTATTTTCAATACAAACTCAAAATATAAATCTATACTATACACTTTGTCTTAATATCTGATGAGTTTATATTGAAAATAGTAATTTATCAAATATATGTACAGTACAGTACCCCTTGTTTAACAATGGGGTTGTGTTCCTAAAACCTAATGTTTAGGAAAATTATCACAAAACGAGGGATAACAGCAAAGCACAGAGGGCAGTAAACAGAGAGCATTGTCTCCCTAATGATAATAAACAAGTTTGTTATTAATGGTTTCAAAAGTTAAACGGATGACTTATTAACACCAAATGATTTAGTGAACAAATGGTGAGCCTAATTTGAACAAATTTCAAATTGCATATGTCAAAAATGAACAAAAGTTGCTGATAAAAAAATTATAAAATGCACATCATAAAATACAATACCGTGCTGTACATATTTTTATGTACAAAAAAAAAAGCTCCTTCCGCATTCAAACCATCGTGTGGGTGATTCAACACACTTCAGCCGGGCAGCCACCCAGTATACAGGTACGGTAGGTGGAAGTCTTCATCTACAACAAAGGTAGGAATAAAAAATAATTACACTATGACTAAGACTGATGGTGTCATGTACTCAGTTGTAACAGTGAAGAGATGTGAGGTTCAAACACTATCAGTTGTGCTCGTTTTTAATTGACTTGTCATCACCATCGTCTTGTAAAATTCTTCATTATGTGCTTTTTTTTTTTTTTTACGGGGATTATCCCACCCGGGCACAGGTCACTGACCCACATCAGGGCCTGGGAGGCGAAAATGTAATAATAATAATAATTCATATTAAATAAAATTTTAATAAAAATACAAAAATAAAAATTAAACAATTTATAGTAAATAATATTTATAATACAAATTACAAAATTAAAAACAAAATAATGATAACAATAATAATAATAACATTAATAATAATAATAATAATAATAATAATAATAATAATAATAATAATAATAATGATAAAGAACCATAAAGAAATTACAAAATGGAAAAAATCAATAGTGAGAAACAATATATGTACTGTATATACAGTATGTTGTGTCGTCAAAGTAAGAGAAACAATTGAGACCCTGCAATTGTGTGTAAATGAGGCAGAAAGTCAGATCAGCAACCTGGGACTTGGTCACAATTTTCGTGATGCCATATGGCAGCAGGGTCTACCATTAGACAACACATTATGCCTCCAATATCTTCCCAGGCAGTAGTACCTCCCTGTTTGGTAGCTGCCTACTACCTACTACCTATCTACCTACCTACCTACCTACAAGAGCCAAAAGTATGTAACAACCCTATCATACTGTTATCATGAACCTGAAGACTTCTATCACCACCCTATCATACTGTTATCATGTGCCTGAAGACTTCTATCACCACCCTATCATACTGTTATCATGGGCCTGAAGACTTCTATCACCACCCTATCATACTGTTATCATGAACCTGAAGACTTCTATCACCACCCTATCATACTGTTATCATGAACCTGAAGACTTCTATCACCACCCTATCATACTGTTATCATGAACCTGAAGACTTCTATCACCACCCTATCATACTGTTATCATGAACCTGAACAATTTCAATTGTTTATTCTTTGATAGAGGAAGCGGGATCCTAGTGCTGTCACTAGGTACCCCTGTACAATAACACCAGAAGCATCTGGCAAGTGTCACAAGTATATACAGTATAAATATTATAAAGGGGCTTACTAAAGCCTAAGGAAGGAAGGAAGGATATTCCTTTAACACATAATCAATATTATTTACAAAATATCTGGCCAGTATGGGGAGGATCATCGTGTCTCCGTCAGGGGGTCGTGGAGTGGTGGTCCAGCAGGTAATTTATAGTAAATAATATTTATAATACAAATTACAAAATTAAAAACAAAATAATGATAACAATAATAATAATAACATTAATAATAATAATAATAATAATAATAATAATAATAATAATAATAATAATAATGATAAAGAACCATAAAGAAATTACAAAATGGAAAAAATCAATAGTGAGAAACAATATATGTACTGTATATACAGTATGTTGTGTCGTCAAAGTAAGAGAAACAATTGAGACCCTGCAATTGTGTGTAAATGAGGCAGAAAGTCAGATCAGCAACCTGGGACTTGGTCACAATTTTCGTGATGCCATATAGTAGCAGGGTCTACCATTAGACAATACATTATGCCTCCAATATCTTCCCAGGCAGTAGTACCTCCCTGTTTGGTAGCTGCCTACTACCTACTACCTATCTACCTACCTACCTACCTACAAGAGCCAAAAGTATGTAACAACCCTATCATACTGTTATCATGAACCTGAAGACTTCTATCACCACCCTATCATACTGTTATCATGTGCCTGAAGACTTCTATCACCACCCTATCATACTGTTATCATGGGCCTGAAGACTTCTATCACCACCCTATCATACTGTTATCATGAACCTGAAGACTTCTATCACCACCCCTATCATATCACCTGAGGACTTCTATCACCACCCTATCATACTGTTATCATGTGCCTGAGGACTTCTATCACCACCCTATCATACTGTTATCATGTGCCTGAAGACTTCTATCACCACCCTATCATACTGTTATCATGGGCCTGAGGACTTCTATCACCACCCTATCATACTGTTATCATGGGCCTGAGGACTTCTATCACCACCCTATCATACTGTTATCATGCAGAACAAAAGAAAACTTGAAGCTTTTTGTTACATACACAGGATGTCCAATGTGAAGTTAAACAACTTTGAAGCCTTATAGAGAGCTTTAGTGAATAATGCAAAGAAATGTTGTTAGGTTAAGGTTATTTTAGATAAATATTATATCAGGTTAATGTTATGTTCGGTTAGTGTCGGGTTAATGTTAGGTTAATAATATGTTATGTTTGGTTAGTGCCAGGTTAATGTTAAGTTAGTGTCAGGTTAATGTTAGGTTAGCATTGTTAGGTTAAGGTTATGCCGTTAATCGCGGTACACATAAAAATATTATAATTAATATAATTAGATAATACTAATATTACACTTATCACAAAGCGAATTTTATTTGCATTAATATTTACTGTATATATATAAATATTGATTTAAATAAATATATTTTTTTTTGATCGTTTGATATTTTCCCAGCGAATTTTGTCAGAAATCCACCAATGAAAGGCCGTTGTTCCGTCGGCCCATATCTGTTGTCCACAAATATTAACAACAGGGAACCAGTCTATTGCAGCCAGACCCTTAGAAGTTTGTGAAGGTTTCATCAGATACAGTAAGTGAGGTCGATTCTGACCGAACTGCTTGTATTAACTCCAAAGAAAAATTATTGGATAGAGTTAGGTTCGTTTGGCAAGGATCAGGTGAAAAAATGTTGATACTTTATTTTACCTTGAATTTAGTTAGAATT